TTCTGATCCTCTATTTCTTCGGCATTTAACAGTTTTTCGGCCATGTCAGACAGTCAAATATTGCATGAATGAATCAGTGAATGAAGAGTAGGCTGAAATTCTATCCTGAATTTAACAGGAAGCCAGGATTTTAAATGTGATTGTTATGTTTCTATATTACATGGGAAACATTGAGATGGCAGTGAAGGATATAGGAGAAAAGATGAGACTAAGGTCAGAAAGATGAAGAAATTGAAGTAATCTTGTATGAAATAATAAGAGTGGTGGGGATGAAAATAGAATAGATGCAAGAGATACTTAGAAAGTACACAGAAACTGATGTGTGATAGGGTCTTGAGAGCAAGTACCCACTCTTAGCTCACATTTATGTCTCTGGTTTGAGTTATGAGTTGGGGATAGAAAACTTACCTTCCTTCCTTCTTTCCTTCCATTCTTCTTACATCCTCCTCTTCCTTCCTCTTTCCCTTCCTTTCCTCTTCCTTCCTCTCCCCCCGCCTCCTCCTCCTCCTTCTCCTCCTCCTCCTCCTCCTTCTTCTCTCTCTCTCTCCCCCCCCCCTTTGTAATATTTGGGGATCTGGGGATTTAACCCATACACTAAGCTACATCCCCTTCCCTTTTTCAATTTTTACATTTTGAGAAAGACTCTAGCTAATTTGCACAGGCTAGACTACAATTTGCAATCCTCCTGCCTCAGTCTCCCAGAGTACTGGGATTGTGAGTGTGTGCCACCACACATAAGCTACAAATTATTTTTTGACATGAAGAACAAAGGGGATATTTTGGGATATTGTAGAATAATGGGCACGTGATGCCAGATAATATCTGTGAAGACAGTCAAGCAGGCCACTGGATTAACTGCAATTTTGGTGGGAAATCAAAAATTGATATTTAGATTTACAAATTATTGTATACTTTAACTGAAACCATAAATCTTAGTATTTTCCCCAGGAAGAGTTAGAGAAGGGGTAGAAGAAAAAAATCAGTTTATGTCAGCAGTTGATCAATAAGTGGAGGAAAATCGATCTGTGATGGGATTATAAAGAAGCAATGGAATAGCAGGCAGAAACGGGTTTATTTAACTGCTAGGACTGCTAAATACCTAGTCATGTGTTAGGCTGTGCCACAGGCTATGTCAGGTGAAGACGGTGTGAACCAAGAACACATTTCCAATTGGAGAGGTGATTACAGCTGGCTGATTAAGGTATGAGAGTTGAGGTACCAACAGGCTGCTTTGGTCACTCCAGAATCACCCCAAAATAATATAATTACAAGAGGAGACATTCTCTCTACCTTCTGAGAATTTAATAACTGAGTCTATAAAATGAACTGACAGCAGGGAGATTAATGGGAGAAAATGTACACAAATTTACTATGTGCATTACAGAAAAGTGAATCTCAAAGACCCAGTGATCCATGATTTGGGAGTTGATCTACCCTTTCCATGGGAACAGGAGGACGAGGAGGATGTAGGCCATCCAAAGGAGGTAAATGATTTGGGGAAAGATGAGTGAGTCCTTGAATAATAAGTAATGGCTTGCGGATGGAGTGTGTCTGGGTGTGGTTTCAAGTTCTAGTCTGTTTTCCTGTGATGAGTTAACATTGATGAAACTCTCAGGGAGGCCCCTGACGACAAGTGGGATTGTTTTGCAGGATCTGTCTTTAGGCAGATTAGGGAAGTTCAGAAAAAGCCCCTCCGTTCATCTGCTGTTCTCCACGTACCCTCAAGTCAAAGTGATCAGTATAACAAACTTCATATTTGGGGCTGGCTTTTCTCGAGTGCTTCCATGGGTCAGATCAACCATTTGATAGGCTTTTTCCGGAGAGCAGGCTCTGGGGTCAGTTATGCCTAAGTTCAGACTTGGGCTCTGTCTTTTTGTGTGACTTTTGCCAAAAACTTAATCTTTCTAATCTTCAAGTTCTCGCTGTATAAGGGGAGATTAGACTATTACACCTAAGGACATGCTCCAAAATGCTGACAGATATTATCTTTGGGGGATGGGTTAAGAATTACTTTTGTAATTAAAAAAACATGCTTTTTTCTCAAAAAGAATGTATTATTTTCTGAAAATGTGTAGCATAATGACAGATTCTATTAATATCCGTGAAGAACCAAAAAACAAGGGAATAGAGCGAGAGCACAGATACTCTCACTTTCACCTCTATTGGAGATAACCCTGGTTAAGTGGTTATTATCTGTACCCCAAAGAGTGATAATCAAAGGTGAACAAAAGGTATTCAAGGACTTCGCATTTTGTGATATAAAATTAAAAAAATAAATCACTAAAACAGCGTATGTTAGAATGGAACAAATATTTAAAAATCGCTTAAATACTCTCATCAGGTCCTCCCTCGGAGAGGAGTGGTTATTGTGGATGGAGAAATCACGAAATGTTTCTGCGAGAAGCTAGCACCACAGTGACCCATAAAGGTGGGCAAAATGCTCTCATCTCAGTGTTTACTGGTTTGCTTCACAATAGAGGGAAATTAACCCAGAGATAAGAACAGAGAAGGCAGAATGATGGATGCAGGAGGAGTGGAATCTCCCTGTCAACTGCTTTAGCTGCCACTAACCTCAACAGCTGCATGTCAAAAGGGCAGGATAGTACAATTTTCCTCCCTCCTCTCAACTGAAAAATGTAGGTTTAAATTAACCACACTTCGCTTCACTACAGTTGTGTTCCTGTGTGCACAGTTTGTAAAGCCAGAAAAAGAAGACTGCCAAGGTGTTTAACTTTTTTTTGGGGGGGGTACCAGGGATCAAACTCAGGACCACTTGCCAAGCAGGCAGCAGAACCACTGAGCTAAATCCCTGGCCCAAGATGTTTAACTTTAGTTCAAGTTGATTTTTTATGGTTTTGTCACCTTACTAAGGGCTTAAAAATTGCCTTTCTCATTTTAAAACTCTGAATTAGGCTTTTATTTTGTTTCCAACTACAAATTGCATATTAAAATTTCTGTATATATATCTTAAATACCTATGTGAATTCATAGAAAATGATAGCAAGACAAATATACAATGATGTGTAAAAATAATGTCTTCTTTATGAGTATCAGACCTTACTGCAAAATACAGTAAATGAGCTCACATCTCTGATTTCATTTTTTTCAAACTGGGGATCACACAGAGAGCCTTTCCACAAGCTATATCATCATCCCTTTAAAATAGTTTTCTTTTGGGCCTGGGATATAGCTCAGGGCCTGGAATTTAGTTCAGTAGCACCATACCTTCCTCACAAGCACAAAGTCTTGAGTTTGATTCCAGGTACCAGAAAAAATAAGTTATCTTTTAAAATTTTTGAGATAGAGTCTCACAAAGGCACTAAATTAGTTGTCTAGGTTGGTCTTGAACTTACAACTCACCTGCCTCACCTCCCCAGAGTGAGGTGAGTACAGGTAGAATGCCAAGGTCATTACAATGATTTCTGAAAGACTGGCTTGCAGGCTGGGGATTTAGCTCAGTGGTTCCACCACTTTCCTGGCAAGTGCAAGGTCCAGAGTTCAATCCCCAATGCGCCCCCACAAAAAAAGAAAGAAAGACTAGCTTGCACTTGGCAATGCTGAATTCAGACTCTCCTCAACTTCACAGAGAACTGAGGACAAAATTAGGAAAGTTAAAAGTAAACAAAATTAAAATCATATTAGTGGTATGTAATGTAAAAACCACCAAGTAAACATTTTGCCATGGAATCAAGTAGCTCAAACTCAGCTCCTAACAAAGCAAAGCATGTATTTTCATAGCTGTAGTCTTTGGAATTGATTGGGAACTTACTTCAGTGCATTTTGAGGAGCAAGAAATTTCATTTATACTCTCCAGAGGAACTTGACCAAACTTAGGGTGGAAAAAGAAGAAACCCACACACTTCTGCATTTGTACGAAAAGGAAGTAGTGTGAAATCTCCCCTGAAATCTAACATGTTTATACCTTGAATTCTTAAGTACCAGAATACTTTCTGCAGAGTTACGAAGCAACTGTGACAGATGAATACATTTTTGTCTTGATATTTATTATCTTTCCTGTTCACTTAGTCAACAAATATTTATTAAGAGCCGATGAGATGTCTGGCACTGAGAATATAATAGTAAGTGGAGGGAACAATATAGTGCCTGCTTTCAAGAACTCTGGAGTTGAGTAGGGGATAGGAATAGAAATTAAAGAATGATCCAAATAATTATAAAATTGCTGCTGTAATAAGTAGTACAAAATTGCATATGGTGCCATGGAAATTACCAATGAAAGATCTTACTCGAGGAGGCCAGGGAAAGCTTTCTTGCCTTTCTTTCTCTCTTTCCTTCTTTTCATGCATACCAGGGACAGAACTAAGGACTCACACTGAGCTTCATCTACAGCCTTTTTTGGGATTTTTTATTTTGAGATAGGGTCTCACTAAGTTGCCCAGCCTAGGTTTGAACTTAAAAGTCTTGTGTCTCCCTCTCTCTCAGTGCTGGGATTACAGGAATGTCCACTATGCCCAATGAAAGAATTTGATTGCTATCTTTTCTTCATCTCACAAGTAGTGGTATGCCATCGAATTATTGCTGTTGGAATCGCCAGATTTGCAATTGTATTTAGCTCAGCTTTAGTTTGAGGAACTAAATGAGAGTCTAGAAAGGCCTTGTGGGTGACTGGGAGATTGTGCCCCGGCATGGTGGTGCACGGCTGTAATCCCAGCCATGGGGAGGCTGAGGCAGCGTTTTAACAAGATTCCCACCTGATCCATATGCACGTTAAAGTCAGATAGGAAAACCTGTGAGCTTTGACCGGCACGGTGACGCACACCTGTAATCCCATCCTGGGGAGGCTGAGGCAGCATTTTAACAAGATTCCCACCTGATCCATATGCACATTAAAGTCGGATAGGAAAACCTGAGAGCTTTGACCTACACTAAGAAGAGCACTTTTTAGTGCGTCCGTGTGTGCATATGGACGTAACGGAAACTAAAGTTCAGTGAAGCAATGCATGCAGTTAACGTATTAGAAAAAAAATGTGTTCACCGCTCACTGGATTTCAGGGTCCACTCCTGGATCTCGACTTGCGGTTTGAAAACGTAATTCTAAAGCACCTAGGAACAGTCCAAAGAAGGCTGGGGAAGCGGTGGAGCATATTCTCCTTGAGGTGCAACGGAAAGTGTAGAAAGTTGCGACGCTCGTTACTTTGTGAAACGCGCGCACTTAGTCACTCCTGACTACGCTCTTGGAGCGAGAACTCCAAGGTGGTGAGGGAGGGGGGTGAGGGGCCGCTGAAAGTTTGCCAAGGCGCTCCGAAGGGTTGGTCTTGGGACGTGATTGGCAGCTACGAGAGGGGGGAGGATTGAAGCCGGAGCGAGCGAGAAGGCTCTGCGGCGGCGGGAGGTCCAGCCCAGCTGTTGGCGAGGAGTTTCCTGTTTCCCCCTCCGGCACCCGGGTGAAGTTGA